ATTACCTTGCTGGACAGTATAAATTTCTAAGTGTTTTTCCATCCAATTGACACTTGACAACAATGCAAGTGTAAAACAACGTGTCAAAAATCTGTGTACAAATAGCAAAGTTCAATCGGTATGAACCTTGCTACATGTACACTTTAGTTTACACTTTACCCCATGGCAATACCCTGTTGGACAGTTTAAATTTCAACCAGTTTTCCCATCCAATTGACACTTGACTACAATGCAAGTGTCAAACAACGTGTCAAAAATTAGTGTACAAGTAGCAAAGTTCAATCAATAAGAACCTTGCTACATGTACACTACGATGTACACGTTAGTTCACACTTTGCCACATGACATTACCCTGCAGGATAGTTTAAATTTCGAACAGTTTTCCATCCAATTGACACTTGACAACAATGTAAGTGTCAAACAACGTGTCAACAATCACTGTACAAACGCCAAAGTTCAGTCGGTAAGAACCATCCGATATGTACACTTTACCACGTGACGTTAGCCTGTTGGACACTTTAAATTTCAAATAGTTTTTCGATCCCATTGACACTTGACAACAATGCGAGTGTCCAACATCATGTCAAAAAATAGTGTACAAATAGAAAATTTCAATCGATAACGATCTTGCTACTTGTATACTATGGTGTACACTTTAGTTTATACATTGTCACATGACATTACCCTATTGGACAATTTAAATTTCAAACAGTTTCTCCATCCATTTGACACTTGACAACAATGCAACTGTTAAAAATCAGTGCACAAGTAGCAAAGTTCAATGGATAAGGACCATGCGACATATACACTATGGTGTACACTTTAGTTTACACTTTGCCAGGTGACATTATCCCTTTCGACAGTTTAAATTTCAAACAGTTTTCCCATCCAAATGACACTTGACAAAAATCCATGTTTCGAACAACGTGTCAAAAATCAATTTACAAATAGCAAAGTTCAATCGGTATGAACCTTGCTACATGTACACTTTAGTTCACACTTTGCCACGTCACATTACCTTGTTGGACGATTTAAATTTCAAATAGTTTTCCTATCCAATTGACACTTGACAACAATGCAAGTGTCAAACAACGTGTCAAAAATCAGTGTACAAATAGCAAAGTTCAATCGGTAAGAACCTTGCTACACGTACCCATGGTGTACGCTTTAGTTTACACTTCGCCACGTGACATTATCCTGTTTGACAGTTTTAATTTCAAACATTTCTCCCATCCAATTGACACTTGACATTAATGCAAGTGTGAAACAATGTGCTAAAAATAGGTTTACAAATAGCAAAGTTCAATCGGTAAGGACCTTGCTACATGTACACTATTGTGCACATTTTTGTTTACACTTTGCCACGTGAGATTACCCCATTGGACAGTTTAAATTTAAAACAGTTTCCTCATTGAATTGACACTTGACAACAATGCAAGTTTCAAATCACGTGTCAAAATTCAGTGTACAAATAGCAATTGACACTTAACACAGTTTAAATTTCTAACAATTTTTTCATCCAATTGACACATGACAACAATGTAATTGTCAAATAATGTGTCGAAAATCTGTGTGCAAATAGCAAAGTTCAATCCTTAAGGACCTTGCCAGACGTACACTATGGTGTGCACTTTAGTTTACACTTTGCCACGTGACATTACCTCGTAGGACAGTTTAAATTTCGAACAATTTTCCTTTCCAATTGACACTTAACAATAATACAAGTGTTAAACAACGTGTCAAAAATCAGTTTACAAATAGTAAAGTTCAATTGGTAAAGACCTTGCTACTTGTACACTATGGTGTACACTTTAGTTTACCCTTTGCCACCCGACGTTATCCCGTTGGACAGTTTAACTTTCAAACAGTTTTTTCATCGAATTGACACTTTACAACATTACAGCTATCAAACAACGTGTAAAAAATTAGTTTACAAATAGCAAAGTTCAATCAGTATGGACCTTGCTACATGTGCACTTTGGTGTACACTTTAGTTTACACTTTGCCACGTGATATTAGCCTGTAGGAAATTTTAAATTTCTAACAGGTTTCCCATCAGTTGACACTTGACAACAATGTAAGTATCAACCAACGTGTCAAAAATTAGTGTACAAATAGAAAAGTTCAATCGATAAGAACCTTGCTGCACGTACACTATGGTGAATACTTTAATTTACACTTTACCACGTGACATTATCCTATTGGATAGTATAAATTTAAAATGGTTTTTCCATGCAATTGACACTTGACAACAATGCAAGTGTCAAACAACATGTCTAAAATCGGTGTACAAATAGTAAACTTCAATTGGTAAGAACCTTGCGACATGTACACTATGGTGTACACACTTTAGATTGCACTTTACCACGTAACACTACGCTGTTGGACAGTTTAAATTTTAAGCAGTTTTCCCATCCAATTGACATTACAAAAAATGCAAGTGTTAAAAAACGTGTCAAAAATCAGTGTACAAATAGTAAAGTTCAAATGGCAAGAACCTTACTACATGTACACTGCGTTGTACACACTTTAGTTTACACTTTACCACGTGACATCATCCTGTTGGACGGTATAAATTTCAAAGAGTTTTCCCGTCCAGTTGGCACTTGACAAAAATGCAAGTGTCAAACAGTGTGTCAAAAATCAGTGTACAAATAGCAAAGTTCAATCGGTATGAACCTCGCTACATGTACACTTTAGTTTACACTTTACCACGTGACATTACCCTATTGGATAGTTTAAATTTCAAATAGTTTTTCCATCCAATTGACACTTGACTACAATGGAAGTGTCAAACAATGTGTCAAAAATTAGTGTACAAGTAGCAAAGTTCAATTGACAAGAACCTTGCTACATGTACACTACGACATACACTTTTGTTTACACTTTACCACATGACATTACTTTGTTGGACAGTTTTAATTTTAAATAGTTTTTCCATCCAATTGACACTTGAAAATAATGCAAGTGTCAAACAACGTGTCAAAAATTAATGTACAAATAACAAAGTTCAATCGGTAAGAACCTTGCTACTTGTACACTATGGTGTACACGTTAGTTTACACTTTGCCACGTGACATTACCCTGTTGGACAGTTTAAATTTCAAACAGTTTTTCATCCAATTGACACCTGACAACAATGCAAGTGTCGGACAATGTGTAAAAAATAAGTGTACAAATAGTAAGGTTCAATCGGTAAGAACCTTACGACGTGGACAGCAATGCAAGTGTTGAACGACGTGTCAAAAATCAGTGTACAAATAGCAAAGTTCAATTGATAAGAACCTTGCGACATGTACACTATAGTGTTCACTTTAGTTTAAACTTTGCCACGTTTCATTACCCTGTTGGACATGTGACACCCCGAACTTAAGCTTCGAGGGTCACGTACTAAACATCATAACTTCTGTCTTTGGTGCATGTAAATATTCTTAAATAGAAGTATTACATGTTAGAAACTTATTTTTTCAATTTGATAAAACAATTCTTATAAAATTTGATAGCCGGTAAAAGTGCATGCCAACATGAAATTTTACATTACATATACGGCCTCGGCACTATCAAGGTTAGTTGGGGCAGCAAGTTTGACAATTTTTATAAAATTCATCCCAACTCCGTTTTCTATGAAATTTGTGGCATTAGAAAGATAATTTCAACTATTTTTCTAGGTTGAAATATGAAAATTTTCCAAGATCATATGATATAGATGTTTTACTGAAAACAGTGAAGTATTACACAGGAAATCCAGATTGACCCCTTGACGTTAAAACCTTGATAACTCAGGCCATAGATATCCAAATTGAGTGATTCCTTCGGCCATATTTAGAAAACTCAAAGAGGAAAACAGAAATATTTTTAGAATCTCAAATAGACGTTTATAGAGTTAGAAACATCATTTTGAAATTGACTCCAGAAACTGTCCTGTTCTCTTGCAAGGAAAATAAACTACAAAAATGTCTCTTAACATAACATGAAAGATATAATTACAAAATTTACTATTAATACCATATTTCATCATGTCATGTACATATTTTTACATAATACCATAAGAAAACAGATGGGAAATAGTCATCGAACAAAACATACAAAAGAAAACTTTCGATGCAAAACATCTTTGTCCTTAATCCATCATCGCTTAAGCCAACTAACTTCCATCAATCCAAACGATCATGGATCTGAAAATTTAGCATAACATACTATGAGTATAAGAAATACTCAGTAAGATACCATGCTTGGATTTTTATCATGATAATACTACACAAAAGAATGCAATCAAACACATACTTGCACATTCCGGCTTGTCGGTGCCCTTCGGACTTGTCCTAAGGCATAAATATATATCTAAATTTGTAGACTTGTCCACCATAATCATATTATGGTTTTTCATGCATAGCTTAAGCATAAATATTACCATGAAAATCATACCCCTTAAGCATAGAAAGTATATTACCGTAAAATTTGAAGATCTTCGATTGAGATGTAAATTGGAAGTGCTAATCTTACTTCCTTCCCTTTCCTTTCTTATTTTCGGTTTTTGCTCTCTTTTTAAGTGTATAAGTGCTTTGTAAAATGAAGGAAATCTCTCTATGGCAATGGATATGGATGTATTTATATATATAAAGATAAGGATAAGGCTTGATATTTTTTTTTTCTTCTTTTCTTCACTCCACCGCCTCACCCCTTTTTCACCCCTTTTTTTTTCTTACCTTTACACATGTTTAGTCTATTGTCTAAGTGTATGGTGATGATGGACAACAAGTGGGTTGATTATAGGGTAATAAGTGGTCTTAAAACCTAGATTTACAAAGGAAGCCTCTTATCTTTTCAACTAATATAATCTAAACCCTCTAACTTTCATTGTTAACAAAGTGTACCGCAAATTTAAACTTGTACCCAACTTACATTGTAACGCCCCGAATTCTCTAGCAACCCGGAATGTTACCAAACGTGAATTGATTAATAAAGTGCTTGAGGCAAATACATTTTAATATAACGAGGAATTCAGTAAAAATTGAACAACCTTAACAAAAGGTAAATTAAATTAAATAACATATGCGGAACAATTTGGAATCATATCTTTTATCAAACATTAATAAAAGTAGTTCTAACAAATAATAAAAATAGGACTAATTGAAAGTTACGACGTGGCTCACAATTGAGTCTAAATTTAAAAATAATAATAATCAAATGTTAATAAATATTCTAGTGTTTCTAAAAATTAAAGTACTTCATGATGGAGATCCATTGGTCCAATATGCATCCATCCACCGCCGTCCAGCATACTAATTTCTACCTGAAAATTTTAAATAGAGAGGGATGAGTATAACGAATTATACTCAATGAGATACTTGCTACTCCACATTCAAATCAAACGTGAAATTATGCATAAATTCTCTTACCAACATAACATGAGAATTATCACACCATGACAAATGATAATTCAAGCAAGCGCTGCAAATAACGTGAAGGCTAAATTGTGCCTTAAACTGTATCATGATTTCTCCCAAAGGAGCTCTGAATTGAAGTAATTAAATCCATACATAACAACGTATTTGAAAAGATGTGGACAAACCACTAATAGCACTAAGCATCTCACCTTTTGAAGATGAACGTGGAAAACAAAATTTCTGAAAACGTGATTCTTTATTGAAATTCCAAAGCCTTAAAAAGCCTTAATAATATGGAGAAATATTTTTAAAGAGGAGGAGAGAATAAAGACTTGTAGAAGAAGAATGAGGAATTAAAGACTGAATGCTTGAGGTTTAGTGCTATATTTATACTAAACCACGGTGTAGGGTAATCACGTGGGGAGTGGAATTTCACTGAAATTAGAACTCTAAATTTCGTCCAAGTACATCCCAGAAATTTGGTTTGGAAATCCTAACCTCCTGTTTGATATAATCTGACTTGGGGATTAACTTTTGATATTGGTGCCCAAATCAACTACTATAATAATGAGGAGACATTACTGGAGCATATCCTTTGCACACGTGATCATTAGGATAAGTTTAGTCTAAAATAACTAAAATTTTATGCATACTAATTAAATATTAACCATAAACTTAATTAATTAAATAGTAGACTACATAAATAATATATGGAGTTTGTTAAG